CCTTGCTTTCTTTCTCCTACCTTCCCAACTTTCTTACTCCTTCCTCTTTCTATTTTAGAATATATAATTTAGTAAAATACATAGGTGATTTTGTTCAAAATATAACTCTTAGCCAATCCCAAAACTTATGGAAAAGGATTGGTCAAAATGGGCATCTAAATAGTTACCGTGCCTATATCAGTATAGTTGAAGAGAACAGAAGCTTAGAGCAAAAAATGGAATGCTATTCTCACATCTAATGCATTGTATGCATTGTATAAGCTGACGATAATTATAAAACGATTTGAGATGTGCATGCAATAAGAAGAGCGCAAAACTAGTATTGTTGGCGCATGTGGCCATTCATTATTTAATTATGACGTTTAGGGCGCTTCCTCCACCTGTCTTCTTGCTCGTGCGTGAAAATGCAAAGTAGGTTTTATGAATAAATTCTAAGGCTGGAGATTTTAGAAACTATTATGGGATTTCAGAAATTTTAAAACTGTTCAAATAAACTAAAAAAAATAAAAAAAACTGCGATGCTGCCTGTGACATAGATTTTATGAAGTTAAATAAATTTTTAGCGAATTTAGAAAAATGTACATAATTTTAAGTATGACTCGAAGATATGGTGAGTAAGAAATATTGCGACAGACTATTCTGGGATATATTTTATGCGATGCGGTAGTATATATGTGATACTTTGTTAGATTAGATGCGATGATATTATAATAAAATGCTGCTGTTATGCCGGTATATGAGAACTGCTGTCATTTTGTTGTAAATGAGATGGCTGGTTAGATCAATAGAGTAATGAGTCGTATAAGATGGCAGACTTGTTGCGTGAACACTGCAGATGGTGACAAAAGGTGATATATGCCAGTATAAATGGGGATGACGGTTAGTAGAAACTTTTTCCGAAGATTGTGTATAAATTTGTTGATCGTTGAAACTCAGAAGGGTTTTCAACGGGACCACTTGGCCGCTTTTTGCAAGGACCGCTGTCCCGTGGACGTCCAGTACCCGCAGATCGCACTGCCGCAGCGGTAGATGCTAGAAGAATAGTACGTGTCAGTTTAACGCTTCTCTATTCTCGCTAAACTGTTTGGTGGGAAAGCTTACCGGGATCGTTATGCAAGGAGGGCTAACGATACTTTTGGCCACTGCCAAGCAGCGTCTAACTCCGTCTCGTAGACTCAATATGTGACTCACAATTTATGGTTTAACCGCGTTTATTGAAAGTAAAAATGACTTTTAAATTCCGGGGAAAGATAATTGATAAATTTAAATGAAAATTATTAGAAGTTCTACACGCTGCTCATGTGTTGTCTTTATTTAGATATTGCACCACGTGCTACGATGTGAATTGATTGAAGTCTGCGAACAGAAAGAAAGACTAACTCGAGCCGATTTAGGACCTCACAGGAAGTCATATTATGTGGTTGATCGATATCTTATCGATAACCCTGTATTTGACATGCATGATATTTATCGGCTGTGTTTAGTAAGCAGCGGCAAAGAGATGTTTGTGGCAAGAAAGAACTTGCAAGCAATCATGGTTGAAAAACAGAATAAATCTATTGAAAAATATAAATAAGGTAAGTTATATACATAAATAAACAAAAAAAAATTACCACGGAGGATTTAATTAACGTGAAATCTAAAGCAAACAAAATTGAGAGCAGTTAAAGTAGTAGGTACGAAAACTAGTCATGAACGTGAGTAGGAGAAGGAAGTTTAAATCCTACATAAGTACACCGGTACAACTTTTACATTTATGCAGCTAGGAGCATGATATGTTCCAATACTTCCACCCATTATCAATAGAAAATTTAGAGTGAAAATTACAAAGATCGGGTCACTATAACCTATAGCTCCCATACAACTGATTGTTCAGATATAAGATTTTTCGTTATAACTCCTCCATTTAAGTAGCTAGAAACATGAAATTTTGCACTGTTGTCACTAATTATCAAAACAATACTTTCAGTGAAAATGGCGAAGATCGGGTCGCTATAAACTATAGCCTCCATACAACTGATTGTTCAGATATGAGATTTTTTGCCATAACTTCTCCATTTATGCAGCTAGCAACATGAAATTTTGCAATACTTTGCCCATTATCAACAAAATACTTACAAAGTTTGGGTCACTTTTACATATAGCTCCCATACAACTGATTGTTCAGATATTCGATTTTTTGTTATAACTCCTCCATTTATGCAGCTGGGAACATGAAACTTCGCAGTATTCCCTCCCATTATCATAAAAATAGTTACAGTGAAAATGGCGAAGATCGGGTCGCTATAACCTGTAGTCTTCATACAAATGATTGTTCAGATATGATATTCTTTGTTATATTTTCTCCATATATGCAGCTAGAAACATGAAATTCCGCACCATTTTCACTCATAATCAACAAAAAGTTTACAGTAAAATGAACAAAGATCGGGTCACTATAACATATTTATTGCCTCCATAAAACTGATTGTTCAGATATAGGGCTTTACTGTAAAACTCCTTTATTTGGACAGCTTAAGTCGATAAATACAAAGTCTACTGAGAAATTCGGTTTACATACCGATCACACAGCAGTGAAAATCACTTAGATTGGTGCTATATAAGGTATATCTTCCATACCTCTGATTGTTTAAATATGATATTTTATATATGCATGTATCTCTTCTATCTATGTAAGCTGTGAAAGAAAAATTTTCAGATGTTCATGAAAGGTATGAAGCCTTCGGCATAGCCGAAGACAGCGCTGCTCTTACTTGTTAACTTGGACTTCAACACTTTAAAATGAAAAAGGGTACAATAATGCATACAGAGAATTAATTTAATTTAAAAATATTTTTGCTACTAATTATGAAGCCGCCTCTAAATGAGGATGTTTTATTTAAATTATTTATGAACTCCTTTGTTGAAATAAAATAAAGATTTTATGTTGGATGTAAAACTATTAAAATAACGATAACAAAATTTCGTTTCTTCGACGCTCCCCATCATTTGTGGAAGCACGCTCCTCCAATAATTCAGTAAAATTAGGTGGTTCTATGTAGTTTGCAACTTCTTCTGGTGTTGTCATCTTAAAGTACAAGCATATATTGTGCAAAACGCAGCAAGCATTAATTATTTTTGTAGCCTCTTGTGGTGAATAATGTAACTTTCTTTCAGTTGAAAGACATCGAAAGCAACATTTTAGAACAGCTATTGCCCGTTTAACTATATTTCGTACTTTGGCGTGTTTTTTATTAAAATAAAATTCTCTAATGCCAGCACTTGCATTCCGAAATGGCGTCATCAAATATGGCTGCAAAGGATACCCCGAATCACCTAAACACATATGTTATATACATTTAAATACATATGTTACGTACAAATTAAATATTTAGTCCAATGAGGACTTGTTTTTATTAGTCATGCTTACCCAAATACATTGAGCAACGATCGCCATTTCTATGTATCGTTTCTAAAGTAGCTTTTAGTTCACTGCAGTTCCATACAAACGAATCTTGTGTTGAACCGGCGTAACTCGCATCGACCATTTTAAGATCACAAGCCTGAAAAGATGAAAAAGTGTACATATACAAGTCTTGTATTTGAAGAAGTCATACTTATAACCATTGCGTTTAAACTATAAAATCCCTTTCTATTTAAATATTGATGCTTCAAGTGGGACGGAGCAACGATACTTACAGGTGTCCCATCAACACTACCAATTACTCCCGGTAATAACGCTTTGGAATAGAAGTAGGTTCTTGCAGCTTGTTTTTCATCTGCAGTCATTTGTGTTTGAATCCATTCAGGGCAAATAACACTTTCAAATATATTTAGTATTTCTCTCAATGCAACTGACACTGTTGCCTGTGCAAAGCCAATTTCAAAATCATTCCCAATACCTTTTTGGTAAGAGCCATCTGCGAAGAAGCGTAGAACACACGCTAATTTAACCCTCAAACCGGCAGCTTTGAAATAGTGATCAGAAATGTTTGGGAATTTTTTGCAGGCATAACTTGGGCATGATAAACTTAATGTCGTCATCTATATACCATTTTGTCGCTTCGTTTGACTTCCAGGTGAGATAAAAGAAAAAGTGCCTCCAGGCACTCTTATCGGTTAAAGCAAAAAATAGGAACAGATAGAAATTTTATTAAGTACCAACGTTTTTATTCCAAAAAGTTTAGCAGAGCAATGGAATCTAGAAAAATGTGTTACTTTTTTGTGTGCTATTCCAAAAAGCATTCTTTTTTCCGCAGATCAAATAAATATAAATTTCAAACTTCGCAAATACATTGAGTTTGCGACTTTTTACAAAATTTACATCGTTTTTTGCCACTTTCTCGAGCCATTTAGGAAGTTGATAGTTACCATTGAAACGAACGTCATCAACACGATATATAGATTTTCTGCCAACACTCAGAGCAGCAGGTTGCGATTCATCTTGTGGAGTAGAAGGTTGACTTGTTGAAGATGGGCCACTAACCGAACGCGTCTGAGTGTAGCTCATAAGACCAGCAGCGATCTGTTCTCGGAATTCAGGTATCAATGAAATGATAAAAACGGCGGTCATTGCGTCCATCCCCATCTCGGAACGACGGGAATCTTTTTATGACTTCAAACCGTTTCAATGGCATCGTTTTGCGAATGGGTTCGAATGCATTCTTGATCAACTAGATCTCTAAATTCAGGTAGCGATGTACCGACATGTATAAATGAATACCGATGTACTGGCAGATATCATCGACATTCACATTGAATCTTAAGTTTATATCCTGAATTAGTTAGAGCATACCGGTTCGTCTCTTGAACAATCATTTCAATTATTTCTTTAGGGAAAAATATAGAAATAATTGCGACGGTTTCGAGACCGCTTTTATGTGCTCAGGTAAGCCACGAAATGCCACCTCATTTATATGAAGTTTAAGGTTTGTTTTGCGCCAGATAACTTTGCTGAGCTCAGCAGAATCTCTGTTAATTAATTCAATGAAGGCAATAAAAAATCCATACGATCAGTACGTAGAATCAATTTTCCAAATATGTGAGAGAAATTCTTAATAATAATAATAATAATAGATTGGCGCTTACACATACATATGCTAGTGTTTGGCCGAGCTTCTCCTCCGATTTGTGGCGTGCGCCTTGATGTTGTCACACAAAGCGGAGGGACCTACAATTTTACGCCGACCCCGAACGGCGATTGTATTTTTATGAGAAGCTGTTTTTCATGGCAGAAATACACTCAGAGGTTTGCCATTGCCTGCCGAGGGACGACCGCTGTTAAGATAAAACCTTTTTTCTATATTTTTTGCGATGTTGCTTTGACCAGGGTTTGAACCCAGGCATTGCGGAGTGGAAGCGCGCACTGCTGACCACAACACCACAGCGGCCGACTCTTACTTCCAATCAAATCACCATTGGTTGGTACAACTGCTGGACCGGCAGCTTCTGCTACACTACTAGTCTCCACTAAATCCATAAATTCAAGAATTCTTCGCCTGATAACTTCGACAATTTATCACACGACAGCATGGGACGATTTGCACATATTGTTATTTGGACACTTTATGAAAAACAGGTGAAAAATTTATAAAAGGTATTTACCTTACCGGTAAAAAGCACCATAACTAAAACGCAATAGAAAAATGCGACGCGTAAAAAAAATAGCGCCGAACGACAAGAGTGCCTTGAGGCACAGTTAGGTTTTTTGCTATAGAACATAAAATCCAACTATTTTCAACACCGTAGATATAAAATCGTGAAGCTTATGGCTAACACTTTACGGCAATAAAATTCTTGAGTTAAAAGAACGTCTCCAAAATAAAAATTTTCGATGCTGAGAATCAGAAATTTTTTAATACGAAAACACGAACTTCTCCTCCACCTATTCGCAAACACCAGATTACAGAGCGCAAACGGCCCGTCGGATTACATTCTAATTTGAGAAAGAAATGTCATAAAAAGAATGATCAAGAGCGTTGATCTCACTTGTGTAATGAAACATTGCATATTCATATGCAAAAGGTGATTTTTGTAATCCTTGCCTTGAGGCACTCTTACCGGTTAGAGGGTTAAGGATTGGAGGAATTGCAGCACTACGCATTGAAGTAATTGACGGAGTTATATTTTCCAATAAATATGTAAACGCTTCTTTACTTAACCTAAACGTATATTATATATTGAACTGGTCAGAAATAATCCATACACCCGTTCTTACAGTTGATTATTCAACTCGAGCGGATTAGAGCTGTCCCGGATACTCCGTCGCAATCTTTGAATGATAAGCCCTTCATTATTGTAGTTGTCCTCATAAAATATATCCACACTACTCATCATTTTGTTTAATTATTTGTTTAGGCGTTTTATTTGTTAAAATTTGAAATAATTACAATTTGAAATAAATATAGATTTTTAAAATTGACGTTTGGCAGGCATGCGACAGACGTCAATTTCATTTCTTATGTTGGTAACAAGGCCAATGAAGTCGAATCAATTCATTCGCGAACGGTAATACAAAACTATTGCCCACTCGTCAAATAAGACGAATAGAAATAGTAATTCGACTCGCGAACGATAATAGGGCCCTATGATTATCATTGTCAAAAAAACAAGTTACAGCAAGTGCTGTGAAAAACGAAGCTAATAAAAAATAAAAATTTGTTCTTAACCTGCACTAATCATATGTATATATTTATTCATATAACGTCACTCACTCAGTGTTGGCATTTTTGGTACAATTGTACTTTTTTGATACAATTTAGTTCACAATATACTTTCCAACTACGCAAAACTTTTTAGTACAATTTTGAGATGAATACTAAAACTGAATAGCTCTGAAAATTCACAATAGGAAGTTTTTTTATTCTCTTTTTATTTGACCGTTTCGAATTTGACTTTGTAAGTTTTGAAAAAGTGTTAAAAATTTCTTGATCTAACTATTATAACAGCAAATTTTTAAAGAATATTTTTGAGACTAAATCTTAAAACAAAATATTGAAATCAGCTTCATATATTTATTTATTTATTTGCAAGAAATACAATTATAAATAATTATATTACTATTCTAAAAAGGTCTTAGTACCCGCTTCGTTAATTACTTAAAACAAGAGATTTTCTGAAAGATATAGTGCTTATCATAACTTTACGAACCTCACATATTAATGGGAATTGACTATTTATCTATTATTCTCTAATTTTAATTATTTGTTTATAAAAATATAGTTTATTCTTAAAGCGAAAAATTTATAAATCCAAGTTTAAATCTTTGTGTAACATTAAAAAAATTAACAAACTTTCATAAAAATTTCGGACATTTTATTAAAATTTTTTTGAAATATTTTGTGTATGCCCATTCAATTTTAGTAAAATAAAGTGCAAGTTTAAAGTAGCTGGGACTTACCGTCCATTTTTGGCATTTTGTTTTTGTTGCCGATGTCAGTCATTTTCTTCCATACGAAGTACGTACATTGGGTAGGTTCAGAAGGCGCAGAAGTTGAGCGCAACCGTTGCTGAAAAGATCAGTGATCATAATGCGCCTTCTGAACGGCTTGATACATTAGCTGTCAAATTCAAAACACACAACATGTTGTCTCAAATGATCATAAAAATATTAGGATCATCTAACACACAACTGTTCAGTTGATCAGAAGTGCAAAACAACGCGTTCAGAAGGTGCAATCGCAACAGTTACTGACCTGTTGCGCCTTCTGAACGTGCCCATTGTACACAATGCACACCTAGATTTTAAGTGCGATCAACTCAAAAAAAAATTTTGGAAATATTTTTTGCTTCATGATTATATACATAACTAAAAAACTAATTTACCTATTTTTGTATTAATTGCGTTGAATTTGTACGATCCACAAGCAATTCAATTCCTCTCTCTGAATTTTGAGTTAGCTCACTTTAGTTCTAAATGTGCGATATGTTCGACGATTTTTTATATGGAGAAAATGAGTAACACCTTCATTGAAAAAAACTTCAAAGTCAACGATACCCCACAGCTACTTTGAACTTTCACTTTGTTATATTAAAATTTAATAGGCTACAAAGCCGCATTAAAATATTTATAGGAAATTAAATTAAAAAGTTCGAAATTTTTACGAAAGTTTGTTGATTTTTTTTGGAATTTTTCTGAAAAATTTGATTAGAAAGTGGCAATTCTCTGTCCAGCACTGTATTTATTCCCATAAATTCAGAATAAAAAGCTAAATTTTAGAAAATACAAATAAAGGAACTAATTTACTCTTATTGGTTTTCATTTTAATGAAGTCGTTGATAGAAAATGATCTTTCTGCTGAACTGTTAGTGACTATAAGAGATAATACAACTTCTCCATTTGGGAAGCAATTTGACCAGGGACCGTAACGGTTAAAAATTTTACTATAAAAGTCACTTTTTAATCGTTAATTGAGTTTTATTTTTTGCTCAAAACATAACGATTATTTTTTGAGTTTTATTTTTTACTCAAAAAATAATCGTTATGTTTTGAGTTTTTTTTTTGCTCGGAAAATAATGGTTACGTTTTAAGTTTTATTTTTTGATCGGAAAATAATCGTTACGTTTTAAGTTTTATTTTTTGCTCGGAAAATAATCGTTACGTTTTAAGTATTATTTTTTGCTTGGAAAATAATCGTTATTTCTTGAGTTTTATTTTTTGCTCAGAAAATAAAACTTAATTTTTACGTATGCGTATGCGCATGCGTGAACAGACGGGGCGGCTACATTGAACTTTTAACGCCACTGTGGAGTAGGGAATGAATCCTGAGAGCAAGATACAAGGGCGGAAACAAAGACAAGGGTAACGACAAACCCACAGACAAACACAACCTATTGAAGGATCAAGCCAATGATAAAGATGAAGAACTGGACAAAGTTAAAGATAAATAAAAAGACAAGGATTAA